GCCTCTCTTTCCGTGAAGTTTTTCCTGATGTCCAGCCTAAATCTGCTGTCTGTCAGTTTGTGACCATTGTTCCTTGTTACCCCACGAGGCGCCCTGGTGAACAGCGCATCTCTGATCCCTTGCTGCGCCCCCTAATGAATTTGTAGGTGGGCACACGATCCCCTCCAGGCTTCTCTTGCGGAGGCTGACGAGGTCCAGGGCCCCCAGTCTCTCCTCGTAGGGCCTTGCCTGCAGGCCTCTGACCATATGAGTGGCCTCCTCTGAACCCTCTTGAGATTGTCTACATCCCTCTTGAAGTGTTGCGTCCAAAACTGGATGCAGTATGCAACTGCAGTCTGAGCAATGCTGCACAGAGGGGAAGTATCACCTCCCTGGATCTATTCGTCATCCATCTGCTGATGCATGGTAACGTGCGGTTAGCTTTGCCGATGATTTCGTCACACTGACGACTCGCACGTTCGTCTTGGAGTCCGCTATGACTCCGAGATCCCTTTCCGCTGCCGTGCTGCTGAGAGGGTCACTTCCCAGCCAGTCAATGTGCTGGATATTTTTGTGCCCTAGGTGCAGCACTCTGCACTTGTCCTTGTTGTACTGCATCCTATTGGGTACTGCCCAATTTTCTAACCTGTCCAGGTCTGCCTGCAATCGTTCCCTACCCGCCGGAGTGTGCCCTTCACCCCACAATTTAGTATCGTCTGAAAACTTGGACAGAGCACACTTCACACCCACATCCAAGTCACGGATGAAACACTGAAGAGTACAGGTCCAATGACCAAACCCTGCGGGACCCCACTACCCACATCCTTACAAGTCAATACCAGCCCATCTACTACCACTCTCTGGGTGCGACCCCCCCAAGCCAATCTGCCACCCACCGAACCGTGTAAACATCTATAATCACAGCCTCTTAATTTATTTATGAGAATAGGATGAGATACCGTATCGAAGGCCTTGCTAAAGTCCAAGAAAACGACACCCACCTCTAGTCCTGCGTCTAAGCATTTTGTGACCCTGGTGTCTGGAGCCATCCACTGAGGTGCAGACCCCACTGCCAGTTGCCCAAGGAGAGGGTATGGCTATGTGGCACAGGGCATGGGCCCGACACAGGGAAGGGGGAGCTGGCTTGGGTGACCACAGCTCTGCGGCAGGGGGCAAGCCAGGTGGGCCCCTGTGTGAGCTGACTCACAGGCCCGGCTGCCGCCAAGGCCTCGATCCCAGCTCCCAGGACAGCCAAGAGGGTGACAGTGCCTTGCATGCTTCCACACTGGGGTCCTGGGGGTGGCGTGGCACCTCCTGCCCCCAAAGCTGCCCAGCGCATGGGCAACACAGCCGTGCCTGGAGGCTGGCCCTGGAGGCTGCTCCACCCAGGCCCTGCCGGGCTGGCTGCCAAGCAGCAGCTATGGCGGGGGCGGGCTTCGCAATGCGGGCACCTGCTCCGTGGGGCCGGCGGCAGGAGATCAGGCTCCAGTCACGCGGCCACTAAACACCACGACTCGCCCAGGCTGGGCATCGGAGCCCTCCCGGCCCAGGAGAGATCCTGCCCTCACTCCTGCGGGCCCAGGCCAGTCTCTGGGGGTGGCGCACGCCTGGTGCCTGTGGGGAGGCATCAGGCTCTTCCAAGGGGTCCACTTCATCCCTGCCTGCTCTGAGAGCCCCAAGGAGCTGCCACCAGCTCCCAGCCCTGCCGTCATGCTGCCCCGCACCCCGGTCACTCCTGTCCGGAGCCACGTGCACACACACACAGCTCTGTCGGTGCCCCTCACTCCCAACCCGCAGCCCCTACTAGCCCAGCCCTGACCCTCGCTGTATTACTCTGCCCGTGCCCCGCAGGGTACAAGCAGACAGAGCGGGCCATGCCACCTCATTGCAGACCCCTCGGGAGAGGATGCAGAAGCAAAGACCTGGGCAGTGACAAGGGCACAGGCCCAGGCACGGAGCCCGTCTGCCCAGAGGGATGGGGGAGGAGGGAGCTGGCCGGCTGCAGCCTCCCGGTACGATACCTGCCCTCGATGACTGTGATGACGTCGTTCATCTGGATGTGCAGCTTGTCGGGTTCCTCGAAGTCCTGAAGTGCCCTCATGTCTGTGGGCTGAGCCTGGGGCAGGGCACAGGGGGCACCGTGAGGGCTGGCCATGCCCAGCACCCTGGCCCTACACCCCGGGCAGACCCAGACTGCTGCCTGGGGGAGGGCTGCACCCAGGCCCCCTGCTAGGGTCTGGAGGTCAGGGCTGGGACCCCTGGGACTGCTCAGAGCCCCAGGAGAGCTCCAGGGACCCACGCTGCAGTCGGTGGGCATGGGACAGGGTCCAGCCACGTTAACCCCTGCATGCCCTTGCTCTAGCAAGCACCATGCCCCCACCTCCCCCACCAGACAGAGTTCCTGGGGGCACAAGATGATGCCCAAGGACACAGAGACAGGAAGAGAGGACTGCTCCCCTCCTCCCCTAACCATTAGCTCCCGCTGCCTTACCAGGGGCAGGCGGAGAGCCCAGGAGTCCTGTGGTTCCAGCCACCAGCCCACACTGCCCTCCTAGGGCCAGCAAACACTGTGTTGGATGGAGAAGGGGTTGCATCCCCGGAAGCTAGCATCCCTATCATCCCCTGGCACCAGGCCATGTTGGACCGGGGAAATGCCAGGTCCTTTCGGGAGCTGGGGAGCGCGAGGGCACAGGTGCAGCTGTCCAGGGACCAGCCACGCCGTGGCCACCCCTGCCACCTACCTCCACCAGGAAGTCACGCAGGGCCAGGAAGGTGGGTCGGTCCTCAGGCTTGTGAGCCCAGCACTGCAGCATGACGTTGTAGATGTCCTGGGGACAGTCCTCGGGCCGCAGCAGCCGCTCCCCCTCCTTGTCAATCTTGTGCAGGATCTGCAGGATGGAGAATGCCAAGGTCAGCAGAGGGGAGGGCACAGGAGTGGCAGGGGGCAGGCAGGGAAGGGACTGGTCTGAGAAGGCAGGTGCTGTGAGTGGCAGAACAAGCGTCCGCAGCCCTGAGAGGCTCTGCTGAGCCCCACGGACCAGCTTCAGGGCAGGACGCAGATGCCAGAGTGCATGGCGGGGGCATCATGGCATTGCTTTGCAGCCCACAGCACCGGGGTCACAGTGCCTGGCCTGGCATGGGCAGTAGAGATGGGCCCCAGCCACCAGACTCTCAGGCCCATGGGGGCAGGGGGAGCTCTCCCCATGGCCAGGGCTGGGTGCAGAACCCAGGAGTCCTGGCAGCCATCCCCCAATCTGTCCTGTTCTCCAAGCACTGGCAGCCCAGGACGGGCACCGTGTCTGCGCCCGGAGCCAGGGCCCCGGCTGAGTGGAGCCCGGGCACCATGGCCCTGCTGCCCACCTGGCTGCCGTTGAGGCCGATCCAGGGCTCCTGCCCGTAGGTGAACATCTCCCAGAGGGTCACCCCAAACATCCAGGTATCACTGGCGTGCGAGAAGGTACGTGTCTTCAGGCTCTCGGGGGCACACCTGCCCAGGAGAAGGGCACGAGGGGTTACTAAGGCTGGCAGCACCCCCCACCCCTTCAGAAGCACCCTCCAGCCCTGCTGGGCTCTGCACACCCCAACACGACAGAGCTGCTCGGGGACACTTAGGACGTATTCACTGCACTTCTCAGGCCAGCACCTGCCTGTCCAAGCAGTAAGACACAGCTAAGTGCCCTGGTAGAGGCGCAGAGCTACAGCTTTCTGCAGCAGCAGCGTGCAAACGCGTGTTCAGGTATTGCTGCACATGATAAAAAGGACGGGGATGTTGGTCCCAGCCCTGGCACTGCATGGACTGGCTCTGGGGTGGTATCAGGGCTGGACTGACCATCAGCAGAGACCCAGCTCACCCCGTGAATCCAGGGTAAGAGTGGCACCCTCTCTTGGGCTCAGCTCCCCATGCCATGGGGGCTGCACATCCTCACGGGTGGATGTGAGGATTCGTGTCTGGCTTGGAGGAGGCACAGCCGGCTCCAGCCTGGTCTAGAGCAGGCTGAGATCGCAGCAAGCATTTAATGTGCAATGGCTCAGGACACGTTCTGACTTGTCACAAGGCACATTGATGGATGGCTATTACTATCTTGCTCAGGGCTGCCCAAGGTACGGCCCATGGAGCCGTATCCTCTGGCCAGCAGCGCTGCCTGGGAGTTGCTGGCTGGCATGCCACTGGCAGCACGTGTTGGCCCTGTCCTACCTGTGTGCCAGGACCTTCTGCAGAAGCCCCAAGGATGGCAGGACTAGGGGGCCCAGCTCCTGTGGCCCAGGGGCAGGACTGAGGAGATGCCCCTGCTCCACAGAGGGGGAAAATGCCAGGCCTGGACTGTGGCAGATAGCAGGGGGGTTCTCACCAGGCGAAGGGCACCTTGCGGTGCTCCTGCATAACGTAGTGGTCGTCGTTCTTGGGCAGGGCCCGCATGAGTCCGAAGTCGCCAATCTTGACCAAGTCATTGGCAGCCAGGAGGATGTTGCGGGCGGCCAGGTCACGGTGGATAAAGCGCTTGGACTCCAGGTAGGCCATGCCCTTGGCGATCTGCACGGCGTAGCGGCACAGCGTGGCGATGAGGAAGTGGCCCTGGTTCTTCCGCAGCCGGTCCAGCAGGGAGCCCAGCGGCGCCAGCTCTGTCACCTGGCATGGGGGTGGGGGGACTGAGTCAGGCCCCCTCAGCCCCAGATCCAGGCCCTCCATGCTCCCCCACTGCCCCGTCCCCAGCCTCACCATCTTCATGGGGTGGGAGAGCACGACGCCGTAGAGCCGGATCAGGTTGCGGTGGTCCAGGGAGTGCATGGCGTTCACCTCCCGGATGAAGTCGTCCAGCGCCTCGGGCTGGCTCAGCACGTCTGTCTTGAGGCACTTCACAGCCACGCTGAGCTGTAGCCGGGATGGGGGAGGTCAGAGGGCACGGCCCCCAGTGCGGCTGCCTCTGGGGTGGAACGCTGCAACCACCCCGGAGTGGGCGGGGAGGGTTGAGAGGGGAAATGGCAGCTGCTGCTGGGTGTTTCAGTGCTGGGGGGGAGATGACTGCCCTCAGGGACCCCAAGACCTTCCCTCCCAGGGATGGGGGTACCGAAGAGTGAGCTGGCACCGGGGTGTGGATCCTCCCAGAGCTGGGGGGCAGCCGCAACCTCTGGAGGCCCCAAGCCAAGCCCTGGGGGAAAGGACGCAGGCTCTGGTGCAGTGCCCGAACTGCCCCCTGGTCCCAGGAGGGCTTCGAAGGCTGCGGTGTTATGGGTGGGACGTGAGCCCAACCCAAGAGGAAGGTGGTTTCAAGCCCCCAAGGGCAGGTGTTGGGAGTTGACTGGCAGCTTCCCCAGGCAGGACAGATGTGCCTGCCGGTCATGGGGGTGCACACTGGGAGCCCCGCAGCGGCTGCCTGGAGTCAGACGGACCGGCATGCCGAGTCCCCACACCCGGGATCGGGGCCCTGCCCCGCCGTGCCCCGTACCGTCTTGCCGGAGGGCGTGGACCACTCGCCGCGCCGCACCACGCCGAAGGAGCCGTCGCCCAGCTTCTCGAGCAGCGTCAGGTCCCGCTCGCTGATGAGGCAGGTCAGGGCGGGCTGGCTGGTCCCCTCGGGGGGTGGCGGCGGCGTGGGTGGCTTCCGGAAGGTGCTTTGGGGCTGGGGGGGGAACTCCGACTCGGGGCGCTTCCCGCTGAACACCTGCAAGGACAGGCCACCCAGGTCAGGGGCAGGCCCTAGGGCTCCTTCCTCGGACTCCAACAACACCCCCCAGACCATTTTGATGGGAGGGATGCAGGTCCCAAGGGACGGGAGAGGCGGAGCCCCTGCGACTCTCCGTGGAGAGGCCAGGACTCCTGGGTTCAACCCGAGGCTCCGAGTCACATTCCCGCTCCGTGCCTCAGTTTCCCCACCTGCAATGGGGGGAGTGGAAATGACGGCAGCCTGCAGCTTGGAGGTGTCCAGCTGAAAAAGCTGTCCCAGGTGTCTGCTCCACCCTGTGCCAAGGGGACGGTCACCCGTGGTAAGGCAGCAGCGGGGTCACCCCTGCTTGGCTTCCCACCCTGCATGGCAGGTGAAGAAGCAGCCCTGGACCCTTGCATTGGGTCCCTGTCTCTTAGCCCTACCCCAGAGAGCTGAGCCCCTGCCCCGTGGCCTCTTCATCCACGCACAGCCCCGGGGGGCTGAGAAGGGGTGGTGGGGAGGAGAGGAGGAGGCCGGCAAGCTCTGGGGCCACGGGTTGGAAACGGGAACCGGGTGGGGATGAGTCGCGCTCTATTAAAAGCCCGTCCTGGCCCCGGTGGCAGCTCGGCCAAGGTGACTCCCAGGAGACACCCACCACGGGCTGGGGCCAATCCCGGATCCGGGCCGAGCTGGGGGCCAGCGCGCCAGGAACACGCGTGGCCTGGCTGCCAGACGTGGGGTGAGATGCCCAGCTGCTAGCAGAGGGGGCTGCCATACAGACAAGGAGCCCCGGTCTTGTGGACTCATTCTGTGGGGGGAAAGGGTGGGTTTCCCGGGGTAATGGGGCAGGAGTGGGAGCCAGGGCAAGACCTACAGGCTCTGGGAAGGGAAGGGCTCAGCTGGGCAGGGGTCCAGCCCGGCCCTCCAGCCCCTTCCCAGCTGCTCCGCAGGCTTCTCTGAGCCCCGCTCGGAGGCTGGCACCAGAGGGCACGCTCACGTTCACACTCGCGCTCAAGCCTGGAGCCAGCCCCGCCCCCAGGGCAGAGGCGAGCTGCATACCCAGCACCTAATTAGCACTTCATTAGCTCCCTGGAAACAGTCAGACTCACCGGGCAGAATGAACTGCCTGACTGTCCGTCTCAGGCAGCGCTGCCCAGACAGCCGAGCACCCACCGCCCTGAATCCTCAGGGATGATCGGGCACTGCCATGGGGAGCACTGGCAGGGACCCTCCCGCCTGCTCCCCCACCCCGCACATTACCAGCAGCTGCCGTCACCCACCGGCACCATGACGAGGACCCCAAGTATCGCCCTGCGGCCCCCAGGCACTCAACCGTCTGCATCTAACCCAGTGCTGCGCCTGCAAAGTCACCCCCAGCATCCCTTGTGCCCACAAACACCTGACCATGGTTTGGGCCACCCAAGAGGCGGGAGCGATAGCAGCCGAAGTCCCGTGTGGCGGGGGGAGGACAGAGCCCCTTCGGGGCCAAGCTCCCGGGCCAGCAATGGGGTGCAGCAGGAGCTGGGACTGGCAGGGTTGGGCTGGGGTGCCCAGAGCCACTGCTTTAACGGCAGCTCTTGTGGACAGCCCTGTGGAAGTGTCCCCCTGTCCCACCAGCCAACACTTGGTGTCAGGGACGTACGTGGCTGAGGCCCCCCTGGGGCCAGGCCCCCTGGACTGGCTCCTTCTGATCCCTTTGTAAGGCACGTGGCTGGGATGAGCCGGAGCCTGGGTGGAGAGGCTGAGCACTGGGCTGGGATCCAGGATCCACGCCGTGCCCACTCTATCTCCCGCTATGGCCATGGGTGAACAGGCCCCGTGCCTCAGTTTCCCCATCTCCTTCAATTCACACGCAAGCCGGGCACTCAGGGCAGGGCTGCCCTCACCCGCTTCTAGCCCCGTGCCCCCGTGCCACGGGGGCCCTGCCTGCTCTACCTTGCTCATCCACGACTTGCGCTTGCACATGGCTTTCCTCCTCTTCACAGCCTCCCACAGCCGTCGTTGGCCTGTGGAGACAAATGCCATCACCCATGGGCCCAGGGCGAGCTGGTGCCCCGGCCCACCCCACCCCGAGGCTTTCTGCCAGGAGGGAAATGCAAGCCAGGGCAGAGGCCCTGCAGCCTGTCAAGGGAGCATCGGCCTGGCGTACCAAGCCCTGTGGGCTGCAAGCCGGAGCTTGCCCAGGCCCAGCAGCCTGGGCAAGACCCCCAACAACGTGATGGGGGACAGAAGGGAAGGAGAGAGGGCAAGGAGCACGGGGTCAGGGCCGCGGCCATACGCACCCGGGCGCCCCATGCCGATCTTCTCCAGGTCCTCATTCTTGACATACTCGAAGTGTGAGAGGCGGGTGACGTTGAGGTCGTCCCGGATGCGAAGGAAGTACTGCTGCAGCTGCACCTCCGTCAGCAGCTCCAGGAGCCAGTCCGTGCCCTCGTCCGCCTGCATGCTGCAGCTCAGCTTCTGTGGGGGAACAGCGTGGGGTGAGCAGGGCACATAGACCCTGTACTGCTCACAGTGCCTGGAGACAGCCCACAGTGCCCACGGCAGCCAAGGAGCACTCACCCCGTGCTTCCCGGATGAGGGAAGATGATGGGCAGCAGCCCACTCGCACCCCTGCAAGCCTAAGCCCTGGGGTTGGGGGTCACCAGCCCATTCAGAGACCCCCACGGCAAGCCCAGGGGGCTGGGATGGGGACAGGCTGCAGGGAGAAGGCACTTGCCGGCTGAGTGAGGCCATCGGGGAGCCCCAATTCCACCTGGCATGGACCCCCTGGTGCCATAGCAAGGCCCTGGGCAGAGCTGTCCCATTTGCTCTTGGGGGAGGTGGAGCTGGCACGTGTGATGGGCCCAGCACCCTGGGGCAAGGTGCGACGCCCTAGTGCCCCCACCGCCGTTCGCCGAGGCTGGTGCTAGCTGCCACCTGGGCACCCCGTGCATCCCCTGCCCTGGTCCCCGCTGGCCTCCAGCTGCACATGGGGTGCACTACAGGCTGCGTGGGTCTCCATGGCTTTGCCAACACACCGCATCTCCCTGCACCATGCATGGCTCTGCTGAGCCGGGAGCTCTCTGCCTCTCTAGCCCTGCAGCATCCTGTCACCCCCCAGGCCTGTGCCCACAGGGCGCTGCCACAATCACTGGGACAATGTGACCCGCTGCTGCATCCTTCTGCAGCAAGGACCCGCATGTCTCCGGGGCCACGGGGAGCGGCGCAGAGAAGCAAACTGCTCTCGTTAGTGCTGGAGCATCATGCGAGCCGGACTGGCCCTGGGCTTGGAGAGCACAATGTTTCTACCCTGTGCAGTGGACAGAGAGCCATGAGGAGCCCGGGAAACACACTGCCCCTATGGGCTTCTTCTCCAGGCGGCACTGGCAGCTTGAAGGGCCCCCAAGAGGCGCATGGGATGGAGCGGGCAGTTCCCGGCAGCCCATTGCAGCAGCCCAAGTGCCAGCTTGGGAGGCACCTGGGGCAAACCAGCAGCCACATTCCCTGCCAGGTTAGGCACGAAGCAAGGGCACCATTTCCAGCCAGCCACTGGGTGCATTGGCCCCTGACCAACCCAGCTCCCTCCCCATGCCAGTGCCAGGGATGCCAGGAGAGGGAAGGGCATCAGGAGGGTCCCATCTCAGCTGTCGCAACCCCTCCAGCGCCACGGCTATGGGGAGCCTGGCTCTGGGGGCGGGCGCAGCTGTGCTGGATGCAGCTGGCTGGAGCGCCGCCCACCCTGCCACCCACCAGCGCTTCGTGCCCCCTGGCACCACCACCGCCCGGCCTCACGGCCAAGTGCAGGAGGACCTGTTTCCCATGACCATGTTTGGTGTGGAGGCTGGGGAAAGCCGGGCTGGCTCCACTCTCCCCAGCCCGGACTCCCCTCCCCTGCCGGGCTTGCCCGCATGCACACACGTGTGCACATATGTGTGCACCTCTCTCCTTGAGGACAGGGCTCGGTGCCTGCTCCTGGGCAACTGTCTGTCCTTCCTCATGCCACGGGGGCTGCTGTCCACCAGCAGCCCTAGTGCACGGGTCTCCATCGACTTCCCCAGGAGCGGGTCCGTGCCAGGATCTGCAGGGTTGCAAAGGCTGGCGTTACCCACGAGGGGCTGAGCCAGGCCCAGAGGCCCCTCGCCCGGGTGGGGGCTCCGAGGGGACGGCCACGTCGCCCACGGCTCGTCCCCCGACGGGTCTCACGGGCATGCCAATGTCCTGCAGCCCACACGTCCCAGCTGCACATCTGCATCACCCTGGGGTCCCCCTTGCACGGTGCTCTGTGCCGCTCTTGGGACTGATCCTCTGCCATGGCACCTCTGCCAGCATGCACCTCAGCTGCCAGCCTCCTCGGAAAGGCAGCAGCTTGTACAGCACCTAGCGCAGCGGGGCCAGGGCAGCTACTGTGAATAACGGTGCACGGACGGGAGACAGACGCTGTTTGCTCTGAAGCTGGCCCTCCAGGTCCCGGCACTGTGGCTTGCTCCTGGGGACACCCCGCCTCTGTCTGCTGCACCCCATCTCTAGCTGTGTCCTGCCTGGCCATTTGCAGCCCCCCGAATACTATCCCACTGCTGTGCCTCTCTCCACAGACCCCCAGCCCGGGGGCCAGGAGGGGATTCTTGGGTTACAGCCGCTCCGAGCCGCAGCGCGACCACTAAAATTCCCTGCGCGGCGGAGTCCGGTCTAAAAATACGGTGGGTGCGGCAGTGCCTGGGGCCCGGAGACAGGCCCCTGGTGACCCCCATGGGACAGGGGGCATGCCGGAGACGTGAGCCGGGAAGCCAGACATGGGGACCCCGTCCTCGCTGCAGGGCAAGGGACCCATAGGTCAGGGAGCATCCGGCATCGAAGGGGAGAGTGTGGAGGGGAGCCTGGAGCAGGGGCATGGGGGGAAGGCTGCAGTGCCGTCCTCGACATGCCATGCAACCCACGCACCCCACAAGCCCAGCAGCATGCCCCCCCTGGGGAAGGAGCTCCCCCCGTGGCAATGCAGGCGGAGACCGAGGCAAAGGGACTTACACGGTAGACGCGGAAGTGGGCCAGAAAGGGCAGGGAGCGGCGCAGGGCCTCGAAGCGATGCATCTCTGCTCCTGCCGGCCGGGCGCTGCCAGTTCTCCGGGCACAGGCTGAGAGTAAGTCCTGGGCGCTCTAGTCCTGGCCCCGCCGGGGTAAGTGCAGGAGGGGAAGCGGGGCAGGAGACCAGGGCACTTGGCAAGACTCCTGCACGCATCACACGGCTGTCCTGGTTCGCGGCAGCACCGGTTCCTCCAGCATGAGCGAGCTCCAGGCGGGGCTGGGGCTGCCCCGACCCCGTCGGCCGCCCCCGAGCCTGGCCGAGGCACAGGATCCGCTCCCGTGGGTCAGCCCAGAGCCGGACGCCGAAGTCTCTTAGATGGACCCAGAGAGGGAGAGAGCAGGACGCTGCACCCGGGTCATCGCAGCTGGTCCCCGCCGGCAGGCACTCTGCGGCGCTCTGGCCACCGCGCTGCCACCACACCGCGCCGGGAGGGCTGGCAGCCTGTGTGGTCGCTTCTGCCGGGGCCCTGGGGACACGGGCACAGCTCCTCCATAAAACCCAGGCCGGGGGGGCCGTCCCCAGGATCAGGAGCTGGCGCGGGGTTGCATGAGCGGGCGGGAGCCTGGCATCATGCCGAAGCCGGGGCCCCAGCCATCGTCCCCCTTCCCGAGCCTCCGCTTTCGCAACAGATCCCGTGGAGGCGGGGGGCGCAGGACGGAGGGTGCCCGCGGCTCGGCACCGCTGCTCCCAGCTCCGTGGCGTGGGCACTGGCGGCCCCTGGCCCCCCTCCCGTGCCTGCAGGCCGTGGCGAGTTGCTCCCACCCCTCACTCCCGCGTCTGCCCGCCTGGCTGGAACAGAGACGCTATGGTATTCGCAGGGAACGCTTTTTGATCGGCAGCCAAGAGGTCAGATTTAACTGCGGGCTGGAGAGTCTGTTTCCTGTGGGCCTCTTGCTTGGGATTTCAAACAGCTCCTCAGTCTCCTCCGCTCTCCCGGCCTCTCTCACGTGCTCCTCGGCGCCCCGTTCTCCACCCGGGCTCCCCACCGCCCCGTGCACACGCGGACGGAGATCGCGTTGCTGCCCTCGGTTCGTTTGCACCGGGAGGGGGAAGGGAGGGACGGGGGGCATAGCCCAGCCCGGTGACCTGGATATCCGAGCTGCAGACCGAGCGTTCCCGGGGGACGGTTCCAGTTTGCCGTGGCCGCGCCGCAAGGCCCGGCTATCTCAGCTCAAGCTCTGGAGCCTGGGAGTCGTCTGCAACCGGGCTGGGTCTGCAACCGTCCCTCTAGAAAAGCCCGAGCCTGCAATGGGCAGGTCACGGGGAATCCCTCTGTATACAAAGCACGTGGCTCCTCCAAGCCCAGACGCCCTGGGGATGGGCATGCGCAAAGCACAAGCAGTGTCCCATCAGCACGGCCGTCTCTACCTGCAAAATGTCACCCGCGTTCACGCTGCACGGCCTCGGAGCCCAGCAAGGACTGATGTGAGTCCCGTGTCCAGCCCCAGCCCCAGCCCCATGCGGCACTGAAAGGCCCTGGACCCCGGGGCAGTCCCGCTACCTGCAGCGGCCGGAGGCAGGGCAGGCAGGTGGGAATGCCCATGTCCCCCGAGGCCTCAGGGAGGTCTTCTCCCTCTGCTTAGCACAGGGCATGTGCCCGAAGCCCCGAGGTGGCCATGCCTGCACGCTCGCTGATGGGCAGATGTGACCCGTGGCAGCCCCGGAGCCGATTCCCCAGGACACAGGGTCAGGGAGAGCAGGACCAGCCAAGATCCTGTTTCTCGATGCATCTGTGTCACCCCACTTTTCCCGCTGCAGAGCTGGGGGGCTTGCTCAGAGCCAGGCATATCCCAGCAGCAAGCGGGGCCAGCGGGGTGGGCTGTGGGGGCCAACAGCCCTTCCCCCTCGGTGGCTGGGGGTAAAACGCTGGCTCCAAGTGACAGAGCAATGCTGAGCTCAGGGAGCCGGGGGCAGCCTCTCCTACCAAGGCCTGGCCCCTTCCCACACCACAACTGGAGGCATCGCCAAGATCTCATGAACACGCGGGGCCCAGGGGCCCTATCTCCACCCCCGGCCAGCTGGACCGGGGCTGTTCCTTGCACCGTCTGCTTCCCCACGGGCACCCCGCGGCCGCGCCAAGGGGCTCGCGCGTCTCCCCAGCTCTTGGCCGCGCGCCGCAGCTCCACATAGCGCTTCCTGTGCAGTGCACCTGACAGCTGGCCCGGGCTGGCGGGGACAGGGCTGCGCGCTTCCCCTGCACTCCCGCGGCTCCCTGGGGCGTCCCAAAGCACAGGGCTGTCCCCGTGCCAAGCAGGGAGAGCGGCGGAGGCCTGGCAGGCGCAGGGCTGGCTCCCGAACACTGCTTCCTTGTCTAGCACCGGGTCCCGGCGGGTCCCCGGGGAGAACAGCTGGACAAACGCGCGGCCCCGGAGCTCCATGGAGGCTGGTTCGTAGCGTG